TGTGTTGTTTGTTTCTCTGGAAGATCAGCATAGAAACCTAAATATCGTTGCTAAACAACGACGTTCAAACGACGATCGTTGTACACGCTCCTATATAGTAAAAAGGAATTCCAGTTTGTTTGGATTTTCTCACACAAAACAACGAGAGCAAATCACTTCCAAGCTCTAGTGAATAATACCTCCATAAAGATTCTTTATTCTGAAATGTTTCACTCAGAAAGGACTGCGTTATTCTATGTGTGCTTAAAACTCAGAAACTATCAAGCTTAGGTAAGTTAGATACATATGTTTTTAAAATGTGTATAACAAGAGCTGAACTAAACAGTTAACTTAACTAATCGGTGCAACTAAACAGTTTATGAGGATACTGCAATGTACCTTTCAAACTCGTGTCTTATCGAAAACAAACTCTTCTTTGATAAGGATTTCGGTTTAACTGACTGAATTTTGTTTAAAGTAAATGCATTTTTGTGATCCTGAAAACTTTTGACTTTATAGTATTAATAGTTTTACAACTAGTCATCTTTTAAAAACTAGTTCAGAGACTAACGTTTTGCTGATGTATTTCATACATTTGGTTCATGGAACTTATTATGCATGTTATTGCAGAATAACTATGCAAAAATTGTCATATTATATACAAAGCATTGAATAAGTACTTTAAGTGGATATATAAACTAAGATATAATCTCAACTGTCCGTCATTCAATTTTTTGAAAGTGCCTGAATGCTAACTTCACAAACGTTTCAATAAAATTGAAAATGTTTCTGTTCCGTTTCGTACTTCAAAGCATGTTCTTTTTATTTTATTTCTACAATTTAGTTCAATAATAGTAATACAGTATTGAACAAAATGTTTGCATACTGTTCTGTATTGATGCTATTGTCTACATGCATGGAGTAGTTATTCAGTAAATGTCCGAGTAGTAACACAGAGTTGTACGAGTTGTTATTCTGGTTTGTACAAGTTGTTTTGAGCATTTTTAGTCAAACCACACATAAATATATGTTTTATATAATAGGGCGTGTTTTTGGTGTAATTTTTTCGAAACAAATCAACGCTTTGTTCAGACAGTTTCTCTGTACTGGTGTAGAGTCATGCCTCGTCACGTGCCAGAAGTTATAGAGCGTCAAATTGTTCGATTGTCCAGAAATGGTATGAAACCAGAACAGTAGAATACCCCCAGTGTACTGTATCCAGAATCCTGAAATGTCGTTGGACTACAGGAAACGTAGACGCCGTAAACTACTGTCCGAGATGACCGTGTTTTGATCAGGTTAACATATCAAGGTCGAAAGAAGTCTTGCAATACCTTACGATATGAATGACATGAACACATCATTCTAGAGTATTCAGAAGAACAGTGAATAGGAGACTGACCAAAGAAAGTTATTTTGCAAGAAGGGCTATCTGTAAATCGATATTAACCAGAATTCACCGCCGTCACCGTGTTACTTGAGCAGGACAGTATGCCAACTTACATTTAGGACATTGGCGATATGTCATCTTTTAAGATGAGCCATGTTTCTGGCTAGTTAAAGATGATGGAAGGATTCATGTTCGTCATTTGCCTGGAGATCAGTCGAGGGAAGACTATCTCCCCCACAGGGAACACAACATAGGAGAACAGCTATTCATCATGGTGGAAAAACTGCTCTTCATATCCTTCAGGGAAACGTCAATGGCGCCTCCTACAGGCATTATATGGAGGTGATATTTCTGTCATATGTTAGGTCAAGGTTTGACAATAGCTTTGTGTTCCAGGAGAACAATGCCACTACCCACAGTGTGCATATTGTACAGGATTATCTCGACCAGGAGGACCTTACAAGATTGTCATGACTAGCAAAGTCTCCAGATTGTAGTCCCATTGAGAATTGTTGAACAGACTGAACCGAAAAATTGCAACCCACGAACCTAAACCAGCTAATGTAGCTGAGTTATAGCGCTTTCTAGTGATAAGTTGGATTACATCAATAACCTTATCGACAGCATGCCACGTCGCCTTGTGGAGGCTATTAGAGTATGAGGAGGACCAACCAAGTATTGAATGTTTAATATGAACTGATATAAAGTTACCGACGCTATCTATAACAATTTTATGGCATATTTTGTCAATATATATGTTTTGGTAAGGTTTTGTTGCGATGGTGAATTTCACATCTTTCTACAGGTGTCTCATAAACTTGTTTGCTGTTCTAATAAATTGTTCATGGTGTCCATAGAACCTATCTCCTTATACAAGCTACATATGTAGATGTTTAACATAGTACATATTTTTCAGTTTGACAGCGCCAAGTGTATTTGTATTCCATTTTAATAATAATGATATTATTTGTTACAAAATATGGAAAAATACTGGCCAAGACTGTTATAATAATAACATATTGTTGATAAATCAAATCTCACTATGTTCCTCCGAACACTGACCGTGAGACCATTTGGGAAAAGCTAGAAAACGATAAAATACTCATTTTCTGTCATGTTTCAAAGACAAAATGAGTTCTGACTAAATCAAGGATTGAAAACTGAAAACTTCTTTACCTTCACATATCAGCTTATTATTACTTCCTATCCAAAAAAGGTACAATTAATATCTTAAATCTATGCACAATGGTTTGACAAAATAATGGAAACACTTCATTTTTTAACTACAAGTTTCTATATCTATAACAGGGAAAACTGAATCCTATGATAATTCAATTTTACATTAAATTATTTTATATCTTTGAATATGTCCGTTGACGAATAGCGTATATTTGTTTTTTTTTTGTTTTTTAGAGAAAGGTTTTAAGAATGTCGAGTTAAAAATATCTCTGAGATTTCTAAAGAAGCATGATTGTAGATAAACGTCTAGGTGGTTACTCAGTGATACGAGTACTCGAAACAACGAATGTATCCTGAGTATCAGAGTGAAAAGTGACACGAATACCAGAAACAACGAATGTATCCTGAGTATCAGAGTAAAAAGTGATGTCAGCATGGATGTCGAAAAATAAACCCGAATCAAATAAACACAACAGTGGTCGTTAGACTAAAGTTGACAGATAAAGACGAACGAGTAGCAAGACGAAAACAAGACTGTAGTGTCAAAAATAAACCTGCATCAAATAAGCACAACAGTGGTCGTTAGACTAAATTTGACAGATAGAGACGAACGAGTAGCAAGACGAAAACAAGACTGTAGTGTCAAAAATAAACCTGCATCAAATAAGCACAACAGTGGTCGTTAGACTAAATTTGACAGGTAGTGACGGACGAGTAGCAAGACGAAAACAAGACTGTAGTATCAAAAATATACGAAGAACTTTATGTTAGTCAACAATAACTAATTTTTATCAAAACAACTCAAAGGGAAGTGCACAAGATGGGTTACCGTAGCAGGTCTACCATTCAGACCAAAAAAGACAAAAAGGTAAAGAATATAAACGTTGGACCAACGATCAACAGAAGAATGTGATTTGATCAGATAAACCATCAAATCTACAATACCTTACAATCCTGAATATATTTGCCATCACTTAAGCATGGTGGAAGCCCTGTTATGGACAAATGTTTTTTTGGATTAGTTTAAGGCCTATTGGTCTCAATGAAAGGTAAATTGACAACAAATGTTTACTTAAACCTTATTGCAGGCCAGGCTCACCCTGAATACTTCATTCATAAACGGAGCTGGTCTATTTCAAGATGACAATGTATACAATTTACAATACTGAATTTATTAAATATTGGTTCAAGGAACATGAGGAAGGGCTTGGACATCTAATTTGGCTACCACATATTTATACGTTTTAGAGCATCTATGATCAGTTTTTAAAACCAAGTTTTGAAGCAGATTTCTAAAGAAAGTTGCTTAGAACTGCTTACCTCATGGCTGTTCACTTTCAAGACTCTTGTGAGAGTGCAGAAAGCAAAAGGAGTCAAGTAATTCAAAAAACAGAGTGCAGTAATAGAACTAGAGAATTTGTTCATGGAATTGCAGACGCCATCCGTACAAAGTTATCATCAACAGCGAGATCTGTCATTGCATTTTCTATGCTCAGTGATGGATCCCAGTCTCGAAACATTGCAAGTGAGAAAGAGCTGGTCATGGTTAAGGTTGTAAAGACTGAACATCAAGTGTTCTTTGTTGATGGGCTGGAAAACATATACAGTTGTGGGATCCAACTGCAAAAATATTTACAATTCACTGGTACTCAGTGGATAAAGGTTAATATAACCACGATATTGCAACAGCAAAACAGTAAGATACGAGTGGTGCTCAGTGGGTAAAGGTTTATATAATCACAATATTACAACAATAAAACAGCAAGACACGAGTGGTACTCAGTGGGTAAAGGTTTATATAATCACGATATTACAACAATAAAACAATAAGACACGTGTGGCCCTCAGTGGATAAAGGTTAATATAATCACGATATTACAACAGCAAAACAGTAAGACACGAGTGGGTAAAGGTTTATGTAATCACGATATTACAACAATAAGACAGTAACACACGAGTGGTACTCAGTGGGTAAAGGTTTATATAATCACGATGTTACAACAATAAAACAGTAAGACACGAGAGGTACTCAGTGGCTAAAGGTTTATATAATCACGATATTACAACAATAAAACAGCAAGACACGAGTGGTACTCAGTGGGTAAAGGTTTATATAATCACGATATTACAACAATTAAACAGTGAAACACGAGTGGTACTCAGTGGTACTTAGAAGAAGAATCTTGCAAAACTTTACGTCGTGTTAATGCTGTATTGTCTGTTCGTGGTCAAACAACTCCATATTAGTAAACAAAATGTAGAAACTAACAGGTCTTTCCATTCATTATTTTGTCCAACCTTTGCATGATTTCAACTGTGTAGCTAATGGCAGCCATAAGTTTTGTGTTATTATCGAAAATCCTCAGATAAATATATCTTCTTTACTGTGTTTTAAAAAATGTGGCTAACAGATTGATTATAATTTATTTTAGTTATGCTACATCTGTTACGTATGGGACAAAAGCGAGCTGAAGAAAAACAGACTCAGCATGTAGAAAAACTTAACATACGACGTCATGGGCGGGCCTTCAAAGAAGAGGCAGCAAATAACCGAAACGCAGCCGCTTGTGGAATACTCGTGTGTATCTACATTTGTGGTTCGTTACTTGTGATGGCGGGTATTGCTGTTACATGTGTTGGTGTACTACTGCCAGAATTCCGTGACAACAAGACTCCATGGATAGTAACCGGCCCGACCCTCATCATCGTAGGTGTCTTGGTGTTACTACTGTCTATTGAAATCATCGTTAAACTCCGAAGGGTGGCACCTTCTGACGACTCAGACTCTGAAGACGAGGCTCCTAGAAAATCCAAGCTAAACGGATGGAGTCAACAAGATGTTTGTAAACAAACCACCAATCAGGGTGCGCTTGCAGCGGAATCCGAAATCCCTGACCAATTAAAGCAATCAACTATTACAGTAGAACCAACAAATCCCGTTGTTCTTGATCCTTCCTCTTTATCAAACTAAAGTTCCTTGTAAAACTCAAATTTAATCAATTGGCCTGAAATTAATCTTCTTTATATAAAGTAATTTTCTAAACATTTCTATTTATCAGAATAAAATATTTGGGCAATTTCATTTATTTAAACTTTTGATAAAAAAAAAACGAGAGAAGGGGCCAAAATTGAAATGTTTTACAAGGAAACAGTTAAATTGTTATACGCCCTCTTTAACCAGAAGTCCTGCATTTAGATTTTTAAATCAAGTTATAAGCATAAAGATTTGAAGAACAAATTTGAGATTCTTCTTCTCATTAAAACTTACAATCTTCAGTAAAGTCACATGATGTAAACAATATCGTTCAGTCACTGTTAAGTTTTTGCTCCACAGTGACACGAATAAAACTTTGTGAGAAAAAACGGTTTGCTATACTTTCTGAAAGAGGCAAGAGTGTGAGATTGAATTCCTATTCTTTCACAAGTTTGCTCAGATTTGTGGGGTGTGTTTAAATGTTTCCGCTTATGGCTTCATATTTGAGTGTACCAACCAACACTAGGAACTACACAAGATGATCATTATTATAACCTAGCATAAATAGAATGAATTCATATGAGTGCTATATCCCAGAAACTGATGATGGATCTAATGGGTTAAGTGCTTCATTGTGCGTATGAATGATGTAGTGATTATCTGATTATGCAATGATACTTGCAAAATAAGCAGCATAAAAAGGGTGAAATAATTGTAGCGTTATTGATCATAGCAGTCTGAGCAAGTTTTGTTTTGGGAGCAATAATTATTTTTTTTAGGAAATTGATGGAACAAATGAGGTTTATAGGCACCAAGTTAAAGCTAGTGAAATTTAGTAATATATTGTTAATAATGCTTATATAATTCTAAGACGGTGATAAACGCAAACATTTTAAATTCACACTATTTATTTATAGATTGTTACAAGAATTTGAAACCAAGGTTCTTCAAATAACTGTATATTCTCGTTGTTTGGGATTACAGGGAAAGAATCTCTATAAAAAAGGTAGTCAAACATGGATAAACTAAACAATTAACATGAGAACACTTAAGTGAGGTGAGGAGTTTAAGTACAAATAACATTAATGACGTTCATTTTAAAAGTAAGAATGTGAAATGTGTTTTTAACATATTCACCGAAGTTGTTTTGAATTTCTTCTTTTGTGAATAATTATGATGAATTTAGATTTTTTTAAATTAGTGGATTAAGATATATTCGAACTTTTTCTTTCATATATATATATATATAAATTAGGAGCATCTGTATTTTCCAGTACATTTAACAAAATAATGTTTTAAACAGTCACTTTTGAGATAACATTTTATTTCTAACCAGAATACAGAAGAGAATGGTGGATTTGGTTTCTTCTTGGACGTTTTGAATAATTATTTAATCAAAACGTCCAAGTATTTTTTAGTAATTTTATCCTTTGACAAACGGTTGAAAAGCACACCCAATATTGAATGGAATAACTCACAAGAGTATCTATTTAATGAACTCATTAAATTGACATTTGAACATGTCTTGGCGTGGTGGGCAGGGCGTTCAACTCGCAGCTTGTGGGTCCCCGGGATCAAAACCGACACTAAATATGTTTTCTCCTTTTAGGCGTAGAGATGTTATAATGTGACGGTCAATCACATTTTCCGTTGGTAACAGATTAGTCTAAGAGTTAGCTGTGGGTGCTGCCGGACAGTTGTCTCCTATCTGGTTGGTAGTTCGAAGTTAGGGATGGTGACAGATAGCCTTAGCAACGTTGCCATAAACAACACAAACAAAGAAACTTTGATATTTTGGTTAAAAAAGCACAAAGCTGGTGACTAGTAATAATGAGGATTAAATCTAAGTGAACTTAAAAGTTTAGAAGGTACATTTTGATACTACTTTAGGTTAACCCAACTTTTTGAAGGTGTGGTGAATAAATAATATAATATTTTGCATATAATCTCTAATTGAACTATTTCTTTGAACTTTTATCAACGTTTTCTATTTTGCATCTCTCTATATATGTGTGAGAAACAAATGAGTATTATGTACAAACGTTTGTTGCAACAATGCTAATTGTTTCATTTGTATAAGGCCTTGTTACTTCACTCTCAACGCTGGTTGGGAAAGTTTTTAATGTTGGAGTTTTATTAAAACTGCATTTAATGGTCAGTAATCGGTTTCAACACTAATTTTAAAATATTTTAAACTTGAAATACTATCTTATAAAATATATTAGTTCACTCTCCTCACGAAGTGTCAATGATATTTGCTTGAAGTGTTTTGCAAGCCGTTATTTCAATCTTTGTCCTAATTGTAAATGTTTTTAAGTGTTTTGAATATCCGTTATTTGATTCTCATTATTAATTTTGAATGTTTTTGTCTTGAAATATTTTTGAATCTACTTTTTACAAGTATTTACTCTCACTGCTAATTGCGAATGATTTTATGTCTATCATTTAGAAATTCTTACTTCAACTCGAGCACTGATATTGAAAGGTGTTATTCTTGAATTATTATCGAAGTTTACATTGATCGACTGGTACGTTGGTTTTCTACACTGTTTGCGAAAAGTTTGATATTGGATTATTATTAAATCTAGAATTTATTGCGTCCAAAGTTTTTACCTGTTATGTAACGGTTCACTAACATACCAACATTACATCATGGAATCACAAAGATTAAACACTTATTTATTGGGCAACATTTTTTTTTAAACGCAAACTCGTACAGAATGAAAATACCGTAAACAAACAATTATATATACACCTGATCCGACGTCTCGCAGTAAGCAAGTTTCCAATTAATGCTTATTTTCTTTGTGTTGGAAAATATATCCTAATCTCCTGGAAAATATAGACACCAAAACAGAACACCAAGAAATAGGGAATAATGGATGACTGTATAAACTGTATTATCCTAGGCCAGGGCTGGCGAACCTTTTTGAGAGTGTGTGACCAAATTGTTGATATTTTTCGGAGAAATTCTTTCGCGTGCCCATATATGCCTTCATATATTGGTCGGGTAAAAAAACAACAACTTGGGGCAGCACTGAATGCCGCGTGCCAAGAAAATTTTCTCACGTGCCACAGGTTCGCCAGCCCTGTCCTAGGTTATGGGGCAGCATATCTTGAGAAATGGTGCGTGTTATGTCACTATGTTAATAGGAAGTGGGACAAATTTTGGTGTTAATCACAACTAGACCTCTGTTTCTAACACATGACACCATCGTTGAAATATATTAACACTTCTACAAAGAGGTTAAGGTGAAGTAAGACTTTGGAGTCTGTTCCTTCTAACGCTCGGGCGATCTTAAACATTCTAGGGAAGTATATTTGGAACCAAATCGTGGCGACGGGTTGGCCAAAGCAGGTTATAGACGTTATTTCTCTGTTGCCTCTGTTGAACATAACATGCGGTATGGCATAATATCTTACCATGCTATAGTCATTTTTATACAATTCCATCAATGCACGCAGTGTAGGATCCTCCAATATGTTTCAATACGAGAAAAAATTCAAGGCTTTTTTTTTGCCAGCAATTCAACTCTGACTTAACTAAGAAAAACCCACACCATGATACTTCGTCATCACTCTTCATGGTTGGGACATTATTGTAATGTTCAAAACCTTTTACAAGTTGTTGTCAAACCCAAACTTGTTCGCCCGAACCAATCAATGAGTAATAGGATTCAATATTCCACTTGATAGTGTCCCATTGTTTTTGACGCTACAGATACAGTAAGAGCAGACGTGAAATCCAGAAGTATGAGACTATTTACGTTCTTTTGAAACCCATCGGGGATGTGTTGACATGGATTCTTGAGTTCTCATTAAAGTCCTGGGCTATGAACGTAAAGCCGCATAATTAATGCCTTTTCATGATCTTTTAAAACTTCACGTGAAGTGAGCAGTGTCTAATTTCAAAGGGACTGGCTGATATTTTACATTAAAGCACCCAATGGGTTTTCGTTTATACACCACATTACTCACAATGCTTTCTGGGTAGGAACAGAGGGATCGGGTGATGAAATATATTAGACATTCATAATGGATGGAGATTGCTTGAATGGGTAATGAAGAAAAACTTTAATATAAGTTTAACATAACAGCAAATGCACAACGTTTCGACAAGGTTTTGTCATCATCAGATTATGTTATGTT